CTTTGAACATTTAAACAGGGTTGAGATGGATAGATTATGGGAACCTTTGAAGTTGGACCAAATGCTTTTTGTGTTATGATATAGCTACAAGCCTATGGGGGTCAGGGAGTGGAATGTGGTGGTTTGAATGGAAATGGGCCCATAGGCTCACAGGGACTAGCACTACTAGAAGGTGTGGCCTTTTTTGTAGTAGGTATTGCCTTGTTGGGAGGAAGTATGTCACTGGGGGTGGGCTTTGAGGTTTCAGATGCTCAAGTCAGTCTTGTTCTTCCTGCTGCCTACCAACTCAGATCTAGAACTCTCAGCTCCTTCTCCGGTACCATGCATCTTCCGGCCATGATAACCATGGACTAAATCTCTAAGCTGCAAGTCTAAAGTCTCAGTTAAGGCTCTCCTTTATAAGAGTTGTCATTGTCATGGCATCTCTCCACAGTAACAAAACCTAATAGAGACACCATCCTTCCAGCTGTACCTGCTGTCCATCTGTTTGTCTGTTCATTCACTTCTGAACCCTGTCCTGTACTTTGCCTCTACAGTCTCCATGGTTCCTCATCTCATTTTTGCAGGTTAACTCAATCCTGTCACTCACAGGGCCCTGACTCTACAGCCACATCTCTAGCAGAGTTCATTATTTTATTCCCACAGATGCTCTCTATGTATCCATTTCAATTTCTGCCTCTCAGGCCTTGAACTCCATTACAGCCCCTTTAGTCCTTTAAAATAAATTCAAGACCAACAGATATATAAATTTACACATCTATATTATATTTATCTGTCTTTCTGTCTGTCATCTATCCACCCATCTATGTATGTATGTATGTATGTATGTATGTATGTATGTATCTATCTATCTATCTATCTATCTATCTATCTATCTATCATCTATCTATCTCATCTATTTTTGCTTCTTTATGTGATATAAGAGTTAATTTGAAGAGTTAATATTGAAACAAAAAGACCCATGCTTGCCTCAGCTGATTTTCAAGGAAATCAGGACTACTTGGCAAAGCACTGCCAGCAAGACCACTTTACCTTGTGGGCTGTATGGTCATTCAGCAATTCTGACATTGGAAAGACACAGACATGTCTCTCATTCCCTCTCCTCTTCACTTTTGATCCCTTCCTCTCCCCCTATGATCCCCTCATCCTCTTCCTACTTCAAGTCAGACCCCCAAGTTTATATCTATATTTCCCATAAGAGAGAAAACATGGCTTAATATTAGAATGAAAGAACCTGATTATGCCAGCCAGCTGTTAGGACAAACTACCGACACTAAAACTGCTTTGTTTTGTGAATTTACAGTCATCCAAAGCTGGGGACATTGTGGGAAGGCACACATGTGTCCTCTCTGTCTAGTTAACCAAGTCTGGCTTATTTTGTTTAACATAATGATCTCCAGTTTCATCCATTTTCCTGTAAATGTCAAAATTTCATCTTCTTGTAACCGAAATAAAATTCCACCGTACGTACTGATACCATATTTTCCTTTTCCTTCATCTGTGGATAGACATCTAGGTTGGGGCCATGTCTTGGCTGCTGTGACTAGGGCAACAGCCAGAATGGGCATGTAAATATTTTTTTTCTGTCATGTGTTGACTTAGAGTCCATTGGGTATAGACCCAGGAAAGGTATGGCTAGACCATATGTTCTATTTTTAGTTTTCTGAAGAACCTCTATACTTATTTCAAAGATGCCATTCTGTGCTTTATAGGTACATGGTATCTCAAGAAAGGGAGGAGGAGAAGACTGGCTCTAGTTGGCAGCTGATCCTGACTTCAGCAACATGGGCATCGCATCAGGTTCAGGGAAGTAAAATCATTAAGGCTGATATTTGCAAGAACTTCGTTATCTAGAGGCAAGCACTGCCTGGACATGCATGGTAAGGAGCTGTTGTGTCATGGACAGACTGGGTTGATCCTGAAGTTCTGTCTGCTTGTGCGAGGGACAGATGTCACTTGCTGTGTCTGGTTCTAAGTTGTACTCTGCTATCTGGTGCTGGCGTAAGCTGGATGTGGAGTTTTTGGAGGGGGCTGCCAGAGACATCAATGTTCATGTTGTCCCAGGATGGGATGCCCTGGTGGAGATAAGATGTGGGATGCAAGGCTGGGTTTAGGGTGTGGATATTCATGGTCTGGCGATGAGCCCTCTTCTGAACTCATAGACATTTCTCTTTCATTTTTTGATGGTTCTAGGCCTTAGCAGTATCAAAATGTAGACTAAGACTTTATTTGAGGTTCCCCTTTTTGATACCATAAACATACTTTCCTCAGATTTTTTGTCTTGAACAGATTGTTTCTTATAGGGAGAGGCGCTATCAGATAAACAAATTATACCAATGATGTTAATTCATAGCACTCTAAAAAGGCTTCTGTTGGAAAAGAAGGTGAAGATTTTTTGTTAGATTAGGTCAAAACTTGGCAACTTTATCCATATAGGGACAAGAGACAGATGCTTTTAGCTTTTTTGAGTCATGTAGTCTGATCTTTCTTTGTCGTGTGAGTTTGAACCTAGGTCCCCATGGATGCAGGGCAAGGGGCTCTACCATGATGCTGGACCTTTAGCCCTCAGTCTGTCCCTGTGCTACAGATACTCAGTCTCTACTACATTATAAAAGTGGCTGCACACGTTACAGATATGTGAATGGGGGTGAATTTGTGCCCCCAAGACCTTCGTTCATGAATGCAAATTTGGGGTTTATGAGTTTATCATGAAATATTATTTTTATTTGCCTGACCATCATTTTTCCAACTGCTGAAAAATGTAGAAAAGCATCTTAGCTCATGGAGTGTCAGTAAAAAACTCAGGGTATTTTGCACACATCAAGCCATGTCTTCCCATCATCTTGCTCTTCAAAATGGAAGATGATCTGCTCCGTGCCTGGAGCTGTTGTTCTGCTTGGGGATTCTTTGTGTAGCCCTGCACTTTGTCCCTTCTGTCAAATCCTTTTGTGAGCTGGGGCTGCTCAGGGAGCACTGAGGGAGAAGTACCTGCTGTGGAGTAACTTGCAGGTCCTTGGTCTTGGCAGAAGGATTTGAGGAACGGAGGAAGGATTTCCATCTCAGTCCTTATTTCCCTGAACAAGGCTCTCTTAGTCCTGGGGCTCTGGTTTTTGCCTTGCTGAGCTGTGGCGTCTGATCACAAGTACCTTGGTTGTCAGTTATGTTTTTGGGGGTGTGGTGGAGTGGAGAGTGAAGGTGGGAGCTGAGTTTTGCTTGGAGCTAGTGCTCTGGGCTAACTTTAATATTAAGAATTCCCAGTTGAAAGACCAGCCAAAAATTTTTTTAAAAAGGGGAGCAAAATAGCATAGAACCCAAGACCTTAGGGCTCAGTGTATTCTGGTAGGACATTCCAGTGGGATTCTGGGATGCTTGTCAACAGCCGTGGCTGCTCTTGGATTTTCCCATGGCCTATTCCAGGACAACCACAGATCTGCAGATGTTCCCTCAGGACCGGGTCATGGCAAAGGCCCATTTCAACAGCAGCTACTGCTGCTCCCAGGGCCAGAGGCCAGTGTTCATGTGGCCTCTGGCAGCAACCCTTCCCCAGATCTCACCCACTTCCCAGCAGGTGAATGGCAGTCCCTGTGAATTTCTCTTTGGAGACAGAGTTTTTTTTTTCCCCTGTGGTGGGGATGCAAAAGATATGGCTACATGAAAACAGATGGGATGAACCCATGCAGCGAGTAGGTAATTAACCCCGTGATCCAAAAGGGGCATTTGTTGCATGTTGTAGGGCGGGGTGAGGAAATGATTCTGGAGAAGTCGTGTGGAAGTCATAGGGAGAGGTGTCTGAGAATTTATAAGGGTGAAGGAGAAAGGACATTTCAGAGGCAGGATAAAACAACCCCCAAACTTACTGGCTTCTGATTAGAGCCATCTTTTTTTTTTTTTTTCAGCTTGGTGCCTTGATTAGTTCACCTCTTATTGCAATAAAATACCTAAGAAATCTACTTAAAAGGAGGGCAACTTTGTTTTGTCTCCAGGTTTTGGGGGGTGTTAGATAGTCCTTGGGGGTTCTGTCACTTATGGGCCTGTGAATGCTGAGGAGACATGGTAGAGCCAGGTGGCTCACTCTGAGGTAAATAGAAGGCAGGCAGACAGAGAGGATCTGAGAGGATCTGAAGACGTGATCTATGCTTAAAGGACATGTCCATAGTGACCTCCTTTCTATTACCCTTAAGCTCTGCTAGATGTTGTCTCTCAGGAGTTCTCTCATTCAGCTGTGTTCTGATGGCCGTTGGGGCTGGGGTCTTCTGAAGGCTTGACTTGGCTTAGTATTCAAGACAGTGCCTTATCTCTCATGCCTGGGCCTTGGGTTAGCTTGGCTGGGATGGCAGGACTGGCAATCAGTCTCCTCCCCCAACCCTGTGGCTGCTCCAAATGACTAACTTGGACAAATATGGAGGACCCCGAAAAGTTGGACCTATAAGGAGGCCAGATTTCTTCAGATGAAGAGAGGAGGAAATGGCGTATCTTTTCCAAGACTAAATCCATACTGTTCTAGGATATTTTCTGCATTAACTTGTTGAGCAAACATGACTCTCATGCCAGCTCAGATTCTAGGACATAGAGGATTAGGCTCACCTAATCCTAAGGAGGAAAATCTGGTCATGCAAGAAGCAATGGGATGGATGGTGGTCACCTTGGAGAGAAGCCAAGACTGAGGCAGAAGAGAACCAGGAAGATAACTTGGTTGTCAGAGGATGAATAGGAGAGCCAGCACTCTTGGGCCATTGCACCGGTGGCACCGGTGAGGCAAAAGTGGGAGCCTCATGAGCTGTGGTAGGGAAACAAACTTTATTTTTTTCAAGTTTTTTATATTAGCATATGTTAATTATACACAATAGTTGGCTTCATTATGACACTCTCGAACATGTCTATAATGCATTTTGTTCATATGCACCCCATCACCCCCTCTTGTCTTCCAGCTCCCGCTGACCCTTCCTCTCCTCAACTAGCCTCCTTCTGCTTTCACACCTTTGTGTGTGTATTTGCTTCGGCGACCAAATTGATGGCCTCAGAGTTGCCTGTAAGTAAGGGAGCAAGATGGCATTTTCAGGAACATGAGCAACTTCATGGTGGCTGCACCGCCCAAGACGCTCCCTCTCCCAGAAACCACTTATTGTCCCTTGATCCTCAGGCAGGCAGCGTGAGCAAGAGGGAGAGACTTTAAGGCGACAAAACCATCCCACACGACAGACTTTCCAAGGGCTGATGACCGTAAGGAATCTGTCTTCTGCTTTCTCCCAGCTAATCCCAGTTAGTTGTCCTAATGCTCAGTATTTATCTGTGCTCTTTGGGCTCCCAAACCTCCTGTGCCTCCCCTTTCTTCCTGCACCAGGCTTGATGGTATAGTGCAGGTCTTAGTGCTCTCTACCAAGATGTGCACCGATGTGGTTTTTTCCCCCCTCAAGCCGTCATATTTGGACCCTTTGCTCTCCTAAGAGCCGAATTCTGTCTTCCCCCCTCCATGGCTTGTCATGTGGCCCATTCTGTCTAGCCTGTATTCCCCATCTATGAAAATCCTATGTTCTTCCCTCCTTTAAACCTTACCTTCAAGGACTAGGACGATGACTGCTAAGCTTGCTTCGCAAGCACAGGGATCCAAGTTCAAATCCTCAGAGCCCTTATCAAATCCAGGCGTGGTGGTATATTGGGGGACAGTGGATCCTAGAAACTCATCGGCCAGCCAGTCTAGCTGAATTGATGAGCTTCAGGTTCAGTGAGATACTGTTCTCAAAATGTGAGGTGGGGAAGCAGTAAGGAAAGACACTTGACCTCTGGTCTTTGTGTGTTACGTATACATGCATGCATGTGTGCATAACTGTACACACACGTGGTCACCTCCACACACTCCCCACCGCTCCTGGAGACCCAATACTTTGGGAAGCAGCTGCTCTCCATTTGTCTCATTCTTATTCCCCTTACCATGGCTTCAAGGTCTTCGGAGACAAAAACCACCAGAAGACCCTGCCGCTTCTGCCCCGCTGCTCCATGCCCTGCACACAGCAATCATTCAGCTGATGGCCTATTGAATTAAACAGTGGTTTCTCTGGGCCACCAGCCTCTGATTGTCTCTTTCCTTTCCCATGGCAAATTGCAGCATTCAGCTCCCAGCAACTCCTGGTCCAGGGCCCTGAGGTTCCTGGCAGGCCGTTCCCTCAGGACCATGGGACTGCTGTTCCCAGATGGCCAGCCCTGGGCAGGCTGGAGCTGGGTCCCAGGGAGATGGAGAGCCTCTGACTCAACGGGCTCCCCTGGCTCCTGTCTCCAGCTGCCTCATGCTTGTTTTCCTTGGCACAAGGAAGTCCTCAGTCATCACGTTGCATCCATTTATAGGCATATATCCATCTCTTATTCTCTTAGCAAAATATTACGGTGACTTTGGCTTAGAAAAGGAGCAAAGACAGGGAAGCGGAGGCTGCGCTAGGCAGAGCAGCTATTTCACACGCGGCTGCTAGGGTTTCCTGCAATAGTCTACCCATCCTGGGGAACCGATGCCATTCTTTTCCTGCCCACCAGCCCTGCCTGTGCTCCAGCTCCTCAGACTTTACTAATGGGCTATGTGGGCAACAGATACATCTGAAATTCTTGCAGGGACAGGTGTGTGCTGCCTGGCTCCAGTCACGTCCATATTATCCGAGGGTCGTTCATCCGACACCAAAATATTCAGTGGCCACTGTTAAACCCTGAGAAGGGAGGAGCTCTGATTAGTCTGGCTACACCTACAAGCCAAGAAAAGACCAGAACACCGTTTATTATGTAGTTTCTTCCCTCCGCCAGCCATTGTTTCCAAGCAGTTTGTAAACAGTGTCTCTTATGTCCGTTGCGATCACCTTTTGAAGTAGTGCTACTATCATCCTAATTTAGAAAGGAAGAAACTGAGGCAGAGCAGGCTGACTCGCTTCCCTTGTCACTCCAGGGTCAGCATCGTGGCTGGGATTTGGGTCTCAGAGCCCTGGCTTCTGAGTCTGCCAGTCAATCAACATCACTTTTATTTCTCATCCAATTAAGGTGTTGAAAAACTAACAGGGTCACCTAGTCCTTCTTATATGTCTGGAAGCCCTGGAAGGGGCAGTGAGTCTGAGGGTTGTGGACAAATGACTGGACGAGTCCGAACCAGTTCTCGGCACAGGTAATTCAATTTGGTTCAAATTCTGACTTTCCCACAGCTTTTGGTTTCTCAGCCTAGCTTTGTGTGCCCATTTGGAAAGGCAGATTAAGAAAGGGATTTACTGGGGTTTCCAAGAGCAACCTCCTTTTCTTGGCTCCAATCTCTGGCCTGGGAATTTACTAAGTAGCCAATTAGTTCATTTTCTTTTCTCCATTCATTCACCAAACTCTGATTCTACTTCTTGTGTGTGCAGGACACCTTATGGGCACCAGGAGGACACATGGAGAGAAGCATAACCAAGGGGAAAAGGCCTTGCCTCTCCCTGCTGTGAAGCAATGGTTAGCGTTCCTGTGTATGCTGCCATTGAAACTGGAAGCCTAGGCTGGAGATGTGGTGGTCCATGCCTGTAATCCACGCTCTTTAGAGGCAGAGGCGAGAGGATCAGATGTTAAACGTCGCTAAGTCTAAGGCCAGCCTAGGCTAAAAAATAAAACCAAGGCTAGCAAGATGGCTCAGCTGGAAAAGATGCTTCCTGGCAAGACTCATGACCTGAGTTTAATTCTGGGTACTCAGGTCATAGGTGGAAAGGGGAGAATAGACTCCTGTAAGTTGTCTTCTGAACACACAAGTGTAGGTGTAGACACACACACACACAATCACATACACACAAATTAAAAGTTAAAACCCAAACAACCCCCAACTCCCAGGAGCCTAACTGTTGCTGTCTCCCAGCTCCCTGGGAAGAATTTTAGTACTCTCTGGTAGATTGCATGAGCTTGCTTTACTGGTTCCATGTCCACACAAACAGGATTTTATATGAAAGTTAACTGGAGCCAGATATCCTAACAGGGAAGCAGGTCTCGGCGCTGTTCAAGCTGGATAGAATGGTGATGTAGATTCCTGCTCCTGACCCAGTTTACCTAAGGATGCAGATGCTCTTCTAATCCTAAGGTCGCTATGCACATAATCACAGATTTGCTAATTTTATACTTTAGAGAATAATTGGGCTCTGGAGGACATTCCTCAGTGTTCTCAAATCCAGGCGACTGCAGGTTAGCTCTTCTGGGATGCTGCCGGTCCCTTGCTCGCAGATTCATCACTCCAGTCTGCTCGAGCTGCGCATGACGATCTTTTCTCTGTCTCAACTCTATGGATGCATCTGCCTTCCATAGGAAGACTTGAGACCTTGGAAATGGGTGCTTAGGGATAACTGAGGACAGGCATCTGCATGTGGCATGGATACACCTAGGTAGAGTCTGGCTTGCTGTCATCCTCTAGACATTCAGGAAGAGTTGATACGGTTATTAAGCATTGTCAAGTCCTGGGGATTGGAACCTGAGTATTTGCTCTGTGTCTACAGCACATACTCATTGGTTTTCTTTCCAATATTCATTGTCTTCTGCTCCTTCAAAAAGGCTTCTGATTTTATTTGGGAAATCAATGACTTCAGGGAAGCTCCTTTTGCTGTAGGCTCAGTATGGAAAGCTATGGCAATTAATATTATCAATCTAATCTGGGATCATGTAGGAGAAGAGCCTCCAGGAACATATGCAGACTGTTTAGATTTGGTTGATTGAGCTTAGAAGACCCATCCTAAAGAGGGCAGTACCATTCTCTCGGCTTATGTCTTAGAGGCACAGAAAGGAGGAAGGTAGCTGGGCATGAAAATCTATTGTTCTCTCTTTTACAACTGTGGTACAATGTAACCAGCTACCTCAACATCTGCTGCCAGTACTTACCAGAGCCAATAGTGTGCACTTTCCCAAGAGCCCAAGAAGACACTTTCTCCCTTAGGTAACTTTTGTCAAGAGTATTTTATCACAGCCATAGAAAAGCAACTAGATAGAAGTTCATACAAAAAGCATATCCCATACTAATAATGGGCCCCTCTTCAGGATCTTGCTGGGAGATGTGGAACAAAGATTTTGCTGCATAAATTCACAATTTTGCAGCTTCTTATAATCAACCTTTTGATGTTGCTGTCATTTTTAGTTTAGTTGTTTGTTCGTTTTTATTTTTTTGAGACAAGTTCCCAATATATAGCCTAGGTTGGCCTGAAATTCCTGTGTAGCAAAGCCTGGTCTTGAACTGCTGATTCTTCTGCCTTTGCCACCTGAGCCTATATAGGTATATATTGTTACATCTGGTTTAGAGCCCTCAGAGATGAGTTCTAATACAAAGTAAAGTTTAGAATAGAGAAAATTTCTCCAGTGAAATTACTGACATTTGTATGCCTCTCATCTTTTTTGATCAAGTGACTCAATATCCCCTTTGGAAATCTAAGCTCCTTGAACCAACATTTCTTCCCTGTGTACTGGACAAAGGCAGCAGGTAGATGCATTTCCTCAATGGCATGCACTTCTCTGAATATGAGCGAATCAGCCTCTCAGATGACTTTCATGAACGTAGGGAGTAAAGCAGAATTATAATGCCTCAGGAAAAGTTTCACCTGTTGGTGTGCCTCATAGTCCCCTTCAAGAGAACACAAAAGCCCTCATCATGGCTGCCCAGATCTGATTATTATTTGGACTATGTGGATAATCCTCCCCAATCCTAACTCTGCAGAACCAGAGTGCAACAGACACGAGCCATTTGGTGTGTGAGAGTTTACGTTAGTGAATAGTTTGAGGGTACAGTGCACCACGGCAAGGAAACCATGGCTGTAGGAGTTCACACCCAATGTTTTACTGTGTGTCTGAAATCAGGAAGCAGAAAGAGGTAAATGTTGGTGCCCAGCTTATTGCCAAGCTCATGGGATGGTGCTGCTCACACCCAGCGTGAGTCTTCTCTCTGTTATACCTCTTTGGAAATATTTTGGAGGACAAGTCTCAGAGGTGTGTCTTCTAGGTGATTCTAAGCCCTGTCAAGTTGACAATGAAAGTTAGCTATAGGGGGGGCAGCATTCAAATTTCACTGTGCTTCACTATCTTTAAAGAGGTAGGCTGTTGTGAGAATTTGACCTGACAGTCAATTGCATTGGGGTGGCTTGGCCCAATGGGCATTCTTTGGGGGCTACATGACCTGAACAACCTGAATAAAAGGCCAGAATGGGGTGAAGGATGCTCTCTTGGACTGTGGAGGGCTCGCTGGCAGTGGCAGTGGTGACCTTCCCTGGACCTCCCCATCACATCTGGGAACGAAGGGATCAGCAGCGGAAACAGCAGCAGCGTTGCCATCTCGTTCTTCTGTGTGACTGTACTTTATATTCTGCACCTGTCTAGTAAACCTGACTTAATCACAGAGGTCCCTTCCTCGTTACTAGACTCTCTCTCCTTGACTTCCCTATAAAGACAGATTCGAACGTTGAGGCGAAGGCTGTGAGGAGGGGCTGGCAGCATGAGGATGGGGAGAATAGCTTCAGGAAGATAACCAGAGGTGAGTTAGGTGAGGCAGGTACCTCTCAGGGATTTCCACTGCTCTGTAGGAAGACAGACTAAGGCTGAGTACCGAGAGCCTCTGGGATTCACCCCAAGACTTTCTTCAGTGTTCAGATCAGAAGTTACAGAAAGTGAAAACGACATTTTCTGTGGGTATCTGAGGACGAACTCCCTCTCTCTCATGTGCTCTTTCGCACGGGTCTCTTTACTGTTCTGCCTCTGTTCTAGCTCTCCTGCTCTCATTCCAATTCTTCCTACTTCTTCTTCTAGCTTCTTCTCCCTAAAAACTAAAAACTCTCTAGCCTAAAAACCCTTCTCTTTACAGGAGCCTTGAAGTGATATAAAATCACAAGACTTACCTCTCATTGGTCAAAAGCAAATTCCTAGGGTTAGCGATAGGGAACTGGGCCATTGTCATGGCAACATAAGGTTCCAAGGTTGTAGGAATAAGACCGTAACCAGAGGGGTCAGGGCACGGTGCCCAGTGGTAAAATTTGAGAATTAGCAGGCTGGAAGGTGAAGAATTGACATGCTTTGTGCAGCAACCTGGTTAGACATCTGCAGTTCTGACCTTGTGCACAGCTGTAAGGTTTTAAACTTAAGATCCCTTTTTAAAAAGCCTTTAGTCCAGTTTGAACTTGCTTTGAGGTGAAAGTGAACTAATTATGTGCATTTAGTCTGAGCAAAAGACCAAAGCAGGCATTTAAATGTCTCCAATCCTCATAGGACAAATAGATCTAGCTACGACGTATGTCCAGCACATATTCTATACACCAAAATTATATAACTAAGTGAAAAGTCATCTTCCTGACCACCCACAGATATATGTGCCCACAATATTGAGATGTAATCATGAGATTAAATCTACATATCACATGAGATTATACAATACACTGCAGGTATTAGGGAGACATTAATCTACTTTAGCAAAAGTGAGCAAGTTTCCAGAGTCAATGATCCTGCAGGCCTTGCCTGGGGAGGGTTAGCTTCCATCAGAGTCACACCTCTGGTGGGTTGACATCTGGATTATCGATTGCCATGAGCTGTATACCATGGCCTCCGACAGCTGAGGGCCAAGATCCTGTCCGGCTTCCCAGCAGCAGTCCAGAAGCAATGCAGAATTCTGAGTTTGAGTCCCAGCTCCCACGTCCCAAGAACCACAATGGCTGTTCTGGAGAAAACACTGCGCTAGCATCTGAGGTGGACAGGTCTGGTCTCCTGAGATGCCATTTCTGGACTCGCTGTGCTGAGCTGTCTCTGGACCTGGATGTTTTCTAAAGGCATTGAGAGCTTCTCAGAGTTCCTCCGGGGAGGACCACATAAGCAGGTGTGATGTGGGTCTGAAAGCGGAGTGTGGCCACAAGCAGGATGTGTCTAAGAGGCTGGAGCAATGAGCGACATGGAGTGGCATTGGGTTGCCCTTCAGCTTCCAGACAAGGCTTGGGATGGGGACTAGGGCTGAACTACTCCATCCCAGCACCTCAGGCTGGGTACCTGAAGGCAGACAGTCCAGGGTAAGACCATAGAATGGCATGGTGAAGCTCATAGGAAAGATTTGGGAAGTTGTATCAGGAGCTATTTTTAGAAAAAGGTCTTTCCCACATTCCCCATTGCACAGGAAAGGAGACCAACTGTGGCTGGGTCCCAGGCATGCGTCACTACACTCGGTCAGAATTGTCTTTATTATCAGTGGTAAATTGTTTGGTTATAAGAGAGAATATAAAAGATGTTTGACAATACCATACAAGTTGTTTACTCTCACAACTCTTCAGTCTTCTCACCAGGATAGCACTGCTAACTTCAGGGAATTAATTAAGAGAGGTGTCATAATCTTTTAAAGTCAACTCTTTGATCTAGGAGGCCAATGCGTATGAACTTACTAGAAAGTCAGTGAGGCCCTCTTCTCTTATGCTTGATCTTTAAACTTTACAAATTGTGAGTATAGTAGCCAAAGTAAACAGACAGGAAGCCAATGAGGGAGAACTCTGAGGGAAAAGTAGCCTTTAATCCCAGCACTTGGGAGACAGAGGCAGACAGATCTCTGTGAGTTCAAGCTTGGTCTACAGAGTTAGTTTAGGGACAGCTAGGGCTGTCTCAAAAAAAAAAAAAACAAACTAACAACCCCCCTCCCCAAAACACCATTATGGAAGAGAAATTAATCTCACAGGTTTTTAGACTGGAAGTCTCAGATAAAAGGGGCAACATTTCTTTTTTTTTTAAATATAATTTTTTATTGAAAAAAAAATTTCCGCCTCCTCTCCGCCTCTCATTTCCCTCCCCGTCCCCCTTTTTCCCCCCCCTCCCCCTCCCCNTTTCCCCTCCTCCCTCTCCTCTCCCCCTCCCCCCACTCCTCTCCCCCTCCCTCTCCAGTCTGAGGGGCAGTCAGGGTTCCCTGCCCTGTGGAAAGTCCAAAGTCCTCCCCGCTCCATCCTGGTCTAGGAAGGTGGACATCCAAACTGGCTAGGCTAAAGGGCAACATTTCTGGTTTCTTCAGAGGTTCCCTCTTTTTATCTTGGAGGGCCTACCTCTTGGTTGTCCCTATGTATACCATGCACCTCTTTATCGTCATAGGGGAACACTAGTCAGCAGGATCAATGTTTGTTCTCATTTTCACCTCTCCAGGTCCTGTCTCTGAATACAACCACATCTTTAAGTACTGGAGTTAAGAGCTTCCGTTGAAGATCTTTAGGTGGACCTAATTCAGTCCAACGCTGATGGTATGTATGCCTGAAATACATTTAGATAGTTAGCAAGCAAGGTAATCAGATATAAATAAATTCATGATCTGAGAAGTTTAGTGCACAGTAAGGAGCTATTGGAAGCATACAATGTGTAGAAGGCACCATCCCCACATCTGCAGGCATGCTCCACAGAGGCAGAGAGGGTGTCTTGTGATAGGGCTTCGTGTGAGGTTCTATTCATAGCATAAGCACAGCTTGACCCAGACTCCTGTGGGAGTTATGAAATTATCCCATGTTTCATTCTTCCGAGGGAAATCTAGAACACATCATCCTTCTAGATGCAAATCTATCCAAATTCAGATGCACGGTTTTTAACCTGCCCCTTGGACACCATTGACTGGTTGTTTGCTTGTTGAATTCCATTAGTGGGAGTGTCTATACCGAGACAAGCCCTTCTGTTAGACAAAGACAACCTATTTTGCTCTAATAGCCGCACATCTTTCTCTCTGCAGAGCTTACCCTTCAGTTCTGGCTTGTTTTCCCCAGCTCGGCTTTACAGTTACAAAGTGGCTGTGTTTCACTTACGGTACTCAGTTATGGTGGGGAATGCTGACATTCGTCCCACTAAGGAACCCAAACAATTGGTCCTTAGCTTCATGAGGCTTCCAATCAGTTAAGAGGCTCTCCACTGTGTTAGAGTATTATAGCTCTGTGCTGGAATAAGAGAGGATATGATTCATCCAGCGGGGCCCCGAGGGGAGAGGTGCTTGTCTGGCACCTTGTCTGTCAACAGTGCTCCGCCAGCGGTAGGGCTACAGTGAGTCCAGTCAGTGTCCCCTCTGCTCTACAACACACTGGACCCGAGTCCTGAGACTCTGAAGTTCTTTCCCACTACAATGTTTTTCCTTTGTTCTTCTGATTCCCCCATGAGAGCTAAATACACAATGTCTCCTGTCAGCAGCAGCCCCGCCATTCACTTACTGCCTTTTATTGAACCACAGTTAAATGTACTAAGCACATAGCAGCACATTAGCCTTCCCCAGGAGAACATGCAAGTTCAGGCTCTGTTCATCTTAAGGGTTAATAATCTCTCTCAATGTAAGTGCCAGAACATGGTGTAATGTCCTTTCACTCTGTTTATGGAATAATGACTGTTTTCTGAAGCTGTAAATACGGTCTATGTACAATCAACAAACCTGGCTGATTTAGTGGGGAGGATGTTTTTCCCAACCTGAGGGTTCCTATCATGTGTTTAGGGAAGCTGTACTCCATTAGGGCCATTGGGACAGAACCCTGTAATTTTCATACTCCTTTAATCCTTTAATTTAGAGAACTTGGGGGCTTGAAGAGATAGACCACCTTTGTTAAACTGTGGTGGACATTTAACGACTATGAACCGTTGTCTTCTGTTCAACAGGGTTGAATGTAGTTTGTGCTGCATGGGGAGATGATGGGCCTCCTGAGGGTTTAGTGTCTGCTAACACTGTAACTTGGAAAAAGATACAAACTGCAAGATGAGAGACATTTCTGTTTTTCCAAGTCTTTACCCACACCTGTCCTCCTCTTCTGGGTGCCTCTACCCACCCGCCCTTGCAACATAGGCCGGGCACCTTGCCAGCTTTTCTTAGATGAAACTGAGGCCAGCCCACCACTGGTCCCCAAGCCAGAGGACTCACCCTCCTCTCTTGCGAGACACAAAGGGTTTCTGTGACTCAATCAGATCCGGGTGCTCATCTCCTAGTTGTATTGCTCAACGTGGTGTGTAGTGGATGTGGTTTACATTCAGTCCCTGAGGCAATTTTCTAGCTAGACCTACACACTTATTTCGCTCCATTTGTAGATCCGTGTGTGGAGATTTCAGGATTCATATGGTCCCTTTTGATCCTCTGGGTAGGTTTGAGTTGCTGACTCTTAGATCCTCGTGCTGACCCCACTGAACAGGTGACAACGCTCGGAGGAGTCGAGCAACTTCTAAGTGTGGAGTGGTTAGGAGAAGATCTGCCCAACTAGGCTGGTGCTGTCAGCTGGTTCAGAGGTCTCCAGCATCTTAGGCTGTTATGCTCTTGTCTAAACATGCCCATGGCCAAGGCAATTCATAGAAGAAAGCATTTAATGGGCATCCATTAGCACACAGGCATGCATGGTGCTGGAGAAGTAGCTTTAGCTGAGAGCTTCAAATCCTGATCTGCCAGTCGGGACTGGGAGAGTGACTGGGCCCCGTGGGCCTCACACCAAGCCCCAGTGGCATACCTCCAACAAAGCCACACATTCTACAATAGTTGCCAGTTAAAGCTGATAAGGGCCATTCTCATAGGAACCACGGCACCTCACTGTAATATAAGGGTCAGGCTCATTGGGGTTTCTGTCTGACCAGGTCCCCCAGTGCATTGGGCGCCACCTCACTCCCTGGCTTCCATAGGCTCATAGCCATGCCCGTCAAAGCAATCACAAACTATCACATTCAAAAATGAGGGAGAGTGGGTGGAAACTGAACCAAAGCAAAACTAAGAAATGAAGCCACTGGGCGGTGGTGGCACATGCCTTTAATCCCAGTGCTTCAAGGCCTGTCTGGTCTCCTGTGTGAGTCCCAGGACAGGCCCCAAAGCCACACAGAAAATTTAAAAAGCAAAAACAAAATACTTGGTATATCTTTGATTGGATTCCCAACTAACATTTCTCTTAGGTTGGCCCCATAGTCTACATCACGACTTGGCAGGTGTCCTTTTGGCATCTCCACCATACCAGTTCCAAAGTGACTGGACTAAGTGACTTAAGTACTATTAGTGCATGTCCAAGATGTAGTCAGCTACCTTTGAACTGACAAACTGAACTACTTGGTAGAGAAGTTATTACAGTCAAGGTCACAATCCCTGTGTGATGAGTAGATAGCCAGGTGTGGTAATCTTTAGGGTTTAGGGTTCAACTTGATTTTTGAAGAGGATTTCCCTCACACATGGCAACTATTTCCAGGGGAACTGGAGAGTCAACTAGACAGGGAAAATCCTCCCTAGCTCTGACCATGGGGTTAGTTTCTAGACACGGGAATCAGCTCCCCAGAACTACTCACAATCTACAACTGGAGTAAGAAAATTGTGTGTGTGTGTGTAAGATACTGTGCCAGGTGTCCAGAGTGCCCTCATGATCTTTGCCTTGGATCCAATGGGAACCTGGAGCTGATCTCTGCAAGGCAAGCAAGCCCATAGGTACATAATATTGCATTCAGAATTGGGGCCAGATCACCAACTTTCTTCCCAAGGGGGTCTTCCCAGGTTGTTCACCGCCCACAGCAGTCTTCAAACAGCTGTTCCAGTGCTGACCTTCCCATTGCCTCTGCAGACACTCCCCCAGAGTCATCTGAAGGAAGCTAGGAAACTCAGGGTACCCTGAGACCACTTAGACGCCCTCTATCCCAGTCATCTCATAGGAAGGTCAAGGTGACCTAGAAAGGCCCTTTTTGTGGCCAAACCCTAATTTCACTTTCCAAAAGACCAAACATGATTTCAATACTTGGCGTTCCAGAGAAACTAGGAACAGGGAAACATCACCCCAGTGAAGCTGTTCCAGTCCCAAGGCAAGAGAAAAAGGAGGACAGAAATGTTCTGAGCTTATAGAATTTCTTGAAGATCAGTGACTATATCCATGTGTCCACATACCTGCCATGCTGTATTGGGATGGGTTTGAGGTACAGTTGAGTTGGGATGGGTTTTAAGGTGGGTTTGAGGTATATAATTGAGTTGGGATGGAGTTAAGGTGGGCTTGGAGCATAAAGTCTTAACTGCTACCTTTGATTTTATGCTGCAAGCCCACTTAAGGCTTAACACAGTGAGTTCCTTGCTACCCAGGTAAAGGTCCAAATCTTGAGTTGACTGCATTCTGGGTAGGCAAAGTTGGAACATACACCAAGGTGTAATTTGAGATGAACCAGAGGGTCATGTCTAATGGTCTTACCTCCAACCCTGCGTAAGCTCAAAAACCCAAATATTTTCCAACCAAAAGAGCAAAAGAAAATTTCAGTTTTCACAAGTTTTATTTGTTTTCAAAATGTTATTGAGATGCTGGGGAGAAACAGCCAACATACATTCCTTATTTCATCACGACTGGCATTGTACCCACTCGATAGGATCTTTCTCTGGCTTTGGTCTAACTTCAGATCTCTTTGGCAGTCCCCCTCTGCTGTCCTCAGTTGCTGTCTGGTGGTGTTGAAGTCAACCAGGGAAGAGCTCATTTTGCCGCATCACAAGTGGGAGCGGTAATTGCGACTTGCTGTGGGGAAGGACAGATTTACAACAGGAAGACCTGTTAAGACACAGCCATCAGCATCCTTATCCCTAGGAACTCAGCCATGCAGCTCCAGCATCTCAGGCTGAGATTGCTGGTTCTGACTGAGGAGTGCCTTCATGAAGGCAGCTGGATAAACACGTCCCTGAATATGTCTACCCACACTTCACTTACCATCATCGCCCCGTTTCCTACTCTTCAGGCAGCCCTTCCGGTATTTTTTCTTGCCGCCTCCTCTCTTGACACCCTTGTGAGGAGCTCGGTTTTTTCCTCTCCTCATGCCATGGCTCTTTAGCTTGCGGCTGGTCGACATTGTAATTTCTGCCAAAATGAGGGGCTTTGCAAGGCCGGCAGGGCCAGGAGTCCACGTATTTAAGGTCTTATCCATTGTGACTGCAAATGGGTGTGGCTTAGAAGCTGGGTGGAGCTCTCTTGTGATGTCACTAGCTTTTGCTACACCTTGTTCATACATATGAAATAAGGCAGCCTCTTCGGTGCAGCTCAAGTCTGGTCCTCAGTTTTGAGACCTCCCCTGGTTTTAAGTTAAAGGCTTTTCAACAGGTATTGAACCACTAAGTCCCACCCCTATACTAGGCCTGGGAAGTGTTTTGCCAGTGCTTATTAAAATATGTCTCTTGCCTGCAGAGAACTTAAAAGTCCTTAGTGTGGGATATTCGTGTGCATGTGTGCCCAAGTCTCACAACTTCTTCAGGCAGCAAATGTATTTACGTAAACACTTGAGTCTAGGAGAGCTGATT